TTATTCATATTGGAATACAGTTGGTGTGCATGCGCGCGCGCGTGCATGTGTGTGTGTAGCATTTAGGCAACCATGGGTGAGTGAGACGCGCGACGGGTGTCAGAAGACGTTGCCCCCACGATCGTTAGAAGTAGATTAATACATATTTCCAGAATATATTATGTCCATATTTATTATGCTATGATATTTTTTACGAAATTACAACAGTTCGAATATCGACAATTTATCAAAAATCCGAATTTCGGTGTACGTATACTTTTTACACTGACTGTAAATGTTATCATAAATGATCTTAAATATACTCAGTTATATTTTTGTTAAAAAGTTCAGCCGTCCTAATATTAAATATATACAATTAAGAATTTAATCAGGAGATATTTAATAACTTTACGAAAATCGAATTCTTTCGGATTTGATCAGTAGTGACACACGTGGACATTGTAATCTAATTATAACTGTACGTTTAAAGCTTTAGACAGAAGTCTTAACCAGCCAATTCGATTCCATAGGTTTACTTGTATTTTTTTTTGCAAATAAGGTAACAAGTGATTGTTTGCAATAATGGATTTTTTCAAGTACCAGAATATTTTTATTTTATTAAGAACACATGGAAAGTAGCTTTATTATATGCTTATATGCTTGCTTTTTTAAACAAATTACTTAAAAATCATTTTTCATTCGAAAAATTTGTCTCATTATCAGACAATACATATAATTAGATGTTAAACTACTGTCTACTTTATCATATTCACATTTATTCTAAGATTCTCTACGCATATGTTTTAAAGTCTACTTTTCTTTGAAAATAATGGCATTTATTAATTACACATATACTTATTTTATTGTAAGCCAGTTTTTCTTTGAAAATGATACCTCATTAAGCATTATCATAATTATACATTGCTGTCTACAAAGCGAACAAGAGAGTACAAAGGATAAATCGTTTTCTTTTTTCGTCGTTTGCACAGTCACGGAAACTAAAGAGCCGGTGTAAAAAGTTAAACGTAACACGTATGTGCCGGTATCCTCGAAGAAGTTAAACAGAAGAGTATTTGATTATCATTAATATCAGTTCCATTTCCATAATACGCTCGTTGGAAAATCAGCGTGCGCCGCGAGTGTAAAAAATCCAACACTTTTTATCATAAACCTAATTGTACTTTCCATACATTTCCATCTGGAATCCGGCTGCGCCGGTGTTTTTCTAATGAGAATGGTCTCATTATCTGATCGATAGCACGACGTTTTGGCTGGAAAGTCATCCATGCGGTACAGATTTATCTGGCAAGATCCGTGATATCATTTTGTTAGGTCAATCTGGATACCAGAAAGATCCAGTTCAGAAAGACGGTCACGCTCCGTTCCAAACTCGCAAGTTGCAACTCATGCGAAAAATTCAACGCAATATTATTGTTATCACATTTGTAAATGTACCGAGGAAAAGAACCGTGACCCCCTGGTAAGAATCCATTGCAATGTTACGAAGAATAAATATACAATCATGATAAAAGCGAGATGCGTTTATACAATAATGAGACTACTGTTTTATAATGTTTTACATAAACTGAATTAAACAATAAGGCTTGCCCTTCAATGTAACTTCCTTGGAAAGTCACACATCATTGAAGATGATGTTCGTGCAGCCCGTGATACTGAGATTGTTAACACGTTAAATGCCCAATAACAATCCCAAATATTCTCACAAAAAAAAAAATCAAAGTAATTTAAGAATTTTAATTCTTGAATTCTAAAAATACTAGTAAACTTCAGTTTGTTTGTATATATAACAATAAAAACGTATTTTAAAAACTAGTCAAACATTAGTTTCATTCATATGAAACCGACGAAGCTCTCAACCTGTTAACACATTTTATAGCAACAGTTATCTCTCTCTCTCTCTCTCTAATAGTTCGAAGATAAACAGTTGAGAATTTCTAAAAAAATTAATTAAAAGCAACAGTAATTTCATCCATAATACAACAACCGATCTATAGATTAATGTAAGATAACAACTTCTTCTGAAATTATTATTTAAAAGAATATATTGACCTTCTTTCACATACAGTTGTTGACTATAAGATGCCATGAAGATTATACGAAATCAGAATAACTTATGTCATAATATATGAATAGAAATTAAAATATTTCCCAAAGAAATAATTTTTCGACATAAACAGCTTAATACATTTTCATTCAGAATACCAAGATGCATCGAACAGTGCATAAGAAACTATATGATTCCATGTAAAAAAGAAAAACAATCGTGACCTTCGTGTGTCTTTCAAGCGTACACATACAAACAAAAAAGTGACACTGGATTATGCTTCCTAGAAATAGGAAACGTTTCGTATGAAATATTTTTTCAAATAACGAATAGCTCACGAGATAGTTGCACGTAGTAATTGAAATAGGACACCCTGTATATTCTTCTTATTGATTTATCTCTATGCCGAAATAATGAAAATAGCTAGGACTAACAACTCTTGTAACTTTTAGACAAACAGAAATGTAATTCTTTCTCTAATAATGTTAACAAGAAGAAAACACAGAACGTCCATATTCTTAAATTCATTTAATCTTTTAACAATTTTAAATTCGAGGGCTATTTCGAAATCACAAGAAGTGATGACTGAATTAAAAGTGAGAGATGTAGTCGTTGGCTTCATGAGGGATGCTCCAAATATGAGAATTTTTGTGATTTATGTGGGAAGCTGAAGAAAAAATAACATAAGAATTGCTCTCTTTATTTATAATACTATTTATAAGCTACATTCAAGGTTATTTTTCGAGGTCGTTCTCAGATCGTCCACTTACAGTATTTTTGTTTTTTGCTTGAAAATGGCAGTATATATTTTAATTTAACGCAAAATATTGTGTATATATATATATATATATATATATATATATGTTAAATTACTTAAACATTGCTGCAATTTGGTTAATTTTTTCAAAAAATGGTCGGATTTTTTCGGTTATAGGCTCAGATAAAAAAGTTAAAAAACGAGAGTTTTTTTACTTTGTTTTGTCAGTCATTCCAAGTAATAGCAAAATTTAAAAAAAAAGCATTCTGGTCATCGTCCAGTATACTAGTCTCACTATCATCTAAAAAAAATTCAGGTCCCTTAGTCTAGTTTTAAAAAAGTTATTGCGTTTTGAAAGGTGTACGCTCAATTTTATGAGTAACTGTATATCGTTGTTATCTACGCCTTGAGCAAATGTTCTTTTCTTAATTTGTATAGTTTGTTTTTGTAATTTTACCAAATCGCATTAACCAGGTTTGGTATTTTTCGGTCAAGTAAACACGACTTTATGGTCGACACTAAACGCGTTAGGTAATGTCCTTTCTAAAATAAATTTTCGTGTCGTTGAACTTGATACATCTTTCACGTCACACTGAGAAAGAAGCAAAGTCGACAAAAGTAAAAGAAATTATAGCGAACTTTAAGAGAAAGTAGATTTTTACTGTTTCCAGGATAATCGTTCGGTGCAACAGATGCCGCCAGCAGGGATTTATCCTTGTAATCAAATTCCACGAAAATATTTATATTTTATGAGTAGAACTAAAGTCGAAAAGCCGTTGTACCGATGAGATTTCATCGAGGGACGAGTTGAAGGAGAGCCTTCCCATGTGCAAACCTGGTATTTTTCTTTGAGAAGAAAAGGTGCAGTCAGCAGGTGGACGCGCGGGAATAAAGGTCGAGCTACCTGAGCGGTCATCGAAAGTTGGAAGGCCGTGAACACTCGAAACTTGTTACTTTGGCGTAACACCTGTCGCAAACAATTCAGTTCGTCGGCGGACATCTGCGCTTATGCATAGCGATACGTTAATGTTCACATGGCGACAATGTTTCGCGCCGACGAATTTCAGTGACATTTTGTAAAAAAGGCTAGTAGTTT